GGTTAGTGAGAGTATAACGAGAATAAGAGAGAGAACCATGATTTTCCTTCATGGTGAGTATGACGAGGATAAGAGAGAGAGAGAACCATGATTTTCCTTCATGGTGAGTATGATGAGAATAAGAGAGAACCACGATTGTCCTTCATGGTGAGTAAGAATAAGAGAAAAAGAACAGAGAATAAGAACAGAGAGAAAGAATAAAAAGAGCAGAACAGAGTTAAAGGAGAATAAAAGTAACAGAAAGAAAGAGAATAACAGTGAGAAATAGAAATAGATGAACAGTAGAGTAAAGAAAGAACCAAAGAGTGAGTTGCGGGGACAGGTAGTAGAGGATTTACTTACTGAGCATTGTTGTGCTCACCCCGTTGTTCTTCTCTGTTTTGCAGGAAATAGGAGCAGCGGTCGGATGGACGTCGAGGAGCGAAGAGTATTGGCACCACTGTCCACCAGCTATAATATTTTGTATTAATTAGAAAGTTTTTAAACACATAGTCTTTTGTATTTGTAAAGAATTTTATTTTATGAGTAAAGAAAAATTTGAGCCCACTATTTTCCATACGCTATGTATATCTATAATTTACGTAGTATGTATTTTAAGAATAGTAGTAAAGAGGAGGTGTTACACAACCCCATTTTGTTATGGGGTATAAGCACAAGATGACTGGTGGAGGAATCCCTGGGAGGACATGAATTTTATAAAGGAGGCAGAAAAGTATTCACGAGCATTATCACTCCACAACACATAAATAGTAGTATTAAATTGAGACTTAATTTCAGCACAAAAGGATTCAAGTATGGAAAATAATTCAAAACGAGCTTTTAATTAAAAATAACCAGGTGCAATGAGAATAGTCATCAATAAATATAACAAAATACTAAAAACTCAAAATAGATGAAACACGACAAGGACCCCACACATCTGAATGAACTAACTCAAAAGGGACGCAACCCATTTATTGACACGCTTAGGAAATGAACTACAAGAATGTTTCCCAAGTTGACACGACTCACAACTAAAAGATGATAAATTAGATAGACTTGGAACCATCTTCTGAAGCTTCAGTAAACTAGGATGGCCCAAACGATTATGAAGGAGAATCGGAGATTCCAAAACAATACATGCGATAGAGGCAAAAGGTAAATTTAGATGGTAGAGGCCCTGTGACTCATGTCCTACGCCAATCATCTGTCCCTTTTCTCGGTCCTACATAACAACAGAAGCATTATCAAAAGTGATAGAACAATTTAAAGACCGTGTAAGTTCACTGACAGACATAAGATTAAAAGGACAATTAGGATATAAAGAACAGAGTCTAAGGCCAAGGATGAAAGCGGATGTGCACGGCCCACTGCTTTAACAACTGTTTTGGACCTATTAGCCATAATGACAGAAGACAGAGTTGTAGCAGTAGTAAGGTGAGAAAGTAAATGAGGGTTACCAAAAATATGATTAGAAGCACCATAATCAAATACCCAAGGCCTTATAGGGGAAGACTGAGTGAGGCATGCAACTGAATTACACGAGTGAGCGATGGAGGAAACAGATGAGGAAAACTGCTTATTGGCTTGATAATTGAGATATTCTTCATAATCAACACAAGTGAGAGTCAAGGACGGTTGAATGCGGCTAAGAGTGATCAGTCTAAACAACATTAGCGACTCAAGAAGGGCGACCATGCAACTTGTAACATTTCTCCTCAGTATGTCCCTATCAATTACAGTAGCCACACTTAGGTCGACCTCCCCTACCACCATGGTCTCCCTGATCTCGTTTATAAGTGTTCTGAGTCTGAGAAGCCAAAACTAAAGAGTCAACCAAGGGAGATCTTGTCACAACACCAGGAGAGGAGACACAAAGTAATCAAGCAAGCACTTCATCAAGAGATGGCATAGTGGCATTAGCCAGAATCTGATCTTGTATTGAAGTGAGATCAGGGCTGATAGTAACAAGAGTAAGAACCATGAAAAATTTGTCTCGTTAGGCCAGATCTTCTACTACAGACTTATCGACGAGCAATAACAAATTAAATTATGCCTTAAGAGAAGTCATCCTGCCAAGGAAGTTTGACATACCCATATCTTATTGTTTGAGAGTAACCATATTGGACACAACAGAATATAAGTGTTGGATATTATTCGTATAAAGTAATTTGGCCTGATGCCATATCTCAAAACAAGTTTTGTATATTTTATAAATAGGGTGAAGAGGAGGGTCATTCCTCTGCCATAATAAACTACATAATAAAGCATCAGTCTTTACCCAAACTGCCTTATCTTCTTTGATATCTTCAGCCTTAGTAGTTAAGTGATCCTCCAAGCCTTGTCCCATACTCCAAATTCAACAGAAGCGGCCTAGAAGGAATAATTAGAGCTCCCTATTAACTTTTCAATTGTGATTTGAGGAAGAGAGAAGAATGAAACAGAACCTGTTTTAGAGCTAGACCTTTCAGTAAACATGTTCAATGTATGATAGAGATGAAAACTGATATGGGCAACAAAAAAATATATTTTCGATGAAAGAGGACATTTTCTGGCAACGATGATGATGTGGCAGGTGTCGGACAGTGATGAGACCCAAGGTTATACTTGTCGACGTTGTCTAAGGCTACTGGTACCGACGGTGAGATGTCACGCTTGCCAAAGAAGAAACTGCGGGAAAGATGATCGGTGTGTGGGACAGCGAATGACAATGATCTTTTAAGGGTTTGACGGTGAGAGAGAGACGAACAAGCTGGTGTTGTCAAATTTCAAAGTCAACACTAGATGGAGGTTGCCTGAACTTCGCCGAAAAAAAAAATTGCTAAAACAGAAAAGAAGAAAAAAAAAATTCTAGGGTGTCTGATTTCTTTGCTCTGATACCATGTGAAATCAGAAGAGATAATTCTTAATATTATTGTGAATAATGTACAACAATTATATATACACCCAGTAATCAACAAAATAAGGAAATGAAATAATTCTATTCCTAATAAATTTGATCTTTATCTCTAATGTGATAGTGTACAACTCAAAATCCTAATCTTCACATGATTCTGTACAACTCAACAAGTACCATTACTAATATTCTTTCTAGGACTGAATACCCGACTACAAATCTATATCTCAGTGAGATTTTTCGGGTTAAGGTTATGCTAGATCATAAGTCAATGGATGAAAATGATGTTATTCGACATATGGTTACAAAATGAAACATGAATTTGAAAAGTATTGGGGAGAATGCAACTTATTGATGTGTGTAGCAACTGCCCTAGATCTTAGGTGTAAAATGGTAGTGTCGGACTTTTGTTTACCTAAAATGTATGGTGAGATTGATGCCCAAGTACATAAGAGCAAAGTTAAAGATGTGTTGTATCAAACTTACCGTGAGTATGTTGATGATTATCAATCTCAATCCCCAAACATTGAACAACCAACTGCAATGGTTCCTTGGGGTAATGAACAAACAGAACCTAATGCGTCTTGTTTTGTAATGTTTGCAGAACATATGAAAATGGTTCAAAGTATTCCACTAGAGGGATCAGAGTTAGATAGTTATTTGGGAGAGGTTTGTTTCATGTTTGCGGAGGGGGATTGTACGAAATTTGAAGCATTGGAGTAGTGGAAGGTTAATACAATGAAGTATCAAATCTTGTCTAGGACGGCTCGTCATATACTAGCCATCCCTATAACCACAGTGGCTTTGGAGGCCTCGTTTAGTGCTGGTAGTAGAGTAATCGAAATGTATCAGGCTTTATTGTCTCCAAAAACAATACAAGTGCTCCTTTGTGGAGGTGATTGGTGTCGCCATTTCAATGGAGTTCATAGAAAGAACAAAGTAAGTGTAAATTGTAACGGGTGATTAGTATTTATGCATTTTCACTTACTAGTTAGTAGTTACTTTCATTTTTGTAATTGAAACTAATATTTTCCCTTGATCTAATTTAGAAGGAGCAAAAACAAGTGGAGATTCAGCTTCCAATCGAGTGAAGCTTATGAAGCTTGAATGCTTTTTTTGGCTAGAATCCTGAGGTAATACATCAGCTCTCAATCACTTATGTAGTTATATTTCATAATATAACAGTTTTTATTCTTAATTTACAAGTCATTTACAACTGCCCTTTTGTCTAAATTTTCTAGGTTTTTTCATATAAAGGTTGGTTTTTGTAAGGATATGTTGGTTGTTTGAGAGGGTGGAGAAGAGATATGTTTCATAATATAAAGGTTGGTTTTTTTAAGTGTTGTTGTGAACCTAAGTTGTGATGATATTTTTGTGATTCTTCTGAAGTGTTTATTTATGTGATGTTATTGTTGAACTTGAGATGTTGTTAGAGAGGGCGGACTATGGAGAAAAGATGTGTTTCCTTCTTGTTGTTGTGTTCCCTTGTTGTTTCTGGGTTTATCTATTGGTTTGGTTGCTGATAAGATACTAAAAACCATTCTTATGTTTGGAGTTCAATAGATTAAATAAAGATTATGATGATATCTATGAACTCAGATTTTGGAAAATGTTATAATGATTTGTCTTGTTCACTGTTCTGTTAATTGAATTATAATGAAGAATAAGTATTAATGTATTATTGTTGGCCTGAGTTTTAAACTGGAGACTTTGTTGATTTTACCTTACATGTTTGTATTGAAATTTAGATATTCTATAATTCTAATTAGGGGTGTTTATTGTTGCTCCAGGTTTTTTGAATATGGAGTTCTAGACTTTGCTGGAAGGTCTTTTGCTCTTTGTTGGGCAAAATATGTTTATCCTGAAATTTAGATATTTTATAATTCTAATTAGGGGTATTTATTGTTGCTGTAGGTTTTTTGAATATGGTATTCTAGACTTTGCTGGAAGGTCTTTTGCTCTTTGCTGGGCAGAATATGTTGGCCTGAAATTTAGATATTCTATAATTCTAATGATGTATATATTTTGTTGCTACAAGTTCAAAGCGTAAAAGTCTGGTGAAAGATAAAGGTGACCTGGCTGTTGCAGCTNTCCCCAGCAAATGTTTCTGCTGAATCATGGCAACCTTCCAGATGAAATAAGCAGGTTTTAGAGAATAAAGAAACAGAAGAGTTGCCTTCTTCTTTTTCTTTTTCATTGTTTCTGTTCCAATGTTATGATATCATGAAGTGTATATATTAACAAAAACTGAGTCTGAGAATTGATATCAAGTCCAATGTTTTTCTGCAGCTGCATAGAGAACTAGCTCGCGAAGCAGTTCGCAAGTCTTTGGTTCTTCTAAAGAATGGAAAGAATCCGAAGAAACCTTTTCTTCCATTAGACAGAAGTTCTAGAAGAATTCTTGTCACTGGAACACATGCTAATGATCTTGGCTGTCAATGTGGAGGATGGACAAAAACTAAGTATATGGACTTAGCGGCGGTATTACAATTGGTAGGCAGTTTTATGGCTATTTTCCTCCCATAAATTACATGATACAAGCATTACTTACAAGTTATTTCATTTTCAGGCACAAGCATTTTGGAAGCAATCAAAGAAGCAGTCGGAGACAAAACAGAAGTGATTTACGAGCAATATCCTTCTCCCCATACCTTAGAAAGGCAAGATTTTTCTTTCGCCATTGTAGCTTTTGGTGAAGAACCATATGCAGAAAATGGTGGTGATAACGCGGAACTTGTAACCCCCATCAAAGGAAGTGAAGTAATAAACTCAGTCGCGGAAAGAATCCCGACGTTGGCAATTCTGATATCTGGAAGACCCTTAACTGTGGAGCCACAGTTGGAAAAATTAGAAGTTTTTGTTGCTGCTTGGCTTCCTGGAAGTGAAGGAAGGGGAATTGCAGATGTTATCTTCGGAGATTATGATTTCACGGGCCAACTCCCAGTTACATGGTTTAGAGGAGTTGAACAGCTACCAATGAATGCTTCAGATAATGCTTATGATCCATTGTTTCCCCTCGATTTTGGGTTGACATACAAATAAGTAGATGAGTAATGTTAGGTCCATAGTTTAATTTCACAACTTTCGACGTGATAGTTTGTCATTAGTTAGCTCATAAAACGGGTTTTGTTTACTTTTATGGGTTTCTTCTACCCATTTGCGAGCTAACCAATGACGAGTTATCATGTTAGGGGTTGTGAGAGGTGACAGTTTGTCATTTGTCAACTAGCGAAATGGGTCCTGTTTGCTTGCATGGGTCCTGTTTACTCATTTGCGAGTTAACTAATGACGAGCTGTCATGTCAGGAGTTGTGATAATACGTAAATTGACTGTTAACTGTTTGTTCAAGCACTATTTCCATGAATTACATTTAACCTCCTGGGGTTTGGGTCTATTACAGGATCCTATCATTTCAATTTCAAATACTGGCATCTAACCCCAATAAGAAAACTGATGTTAATGAAAATCAAACACTAGAGGGGCAAAATAGACTTTTGAGGATGGTTCAATAGTTTAATAATTAATATTACATTTTATATTTACAATATCTTACTATTCAATTAAAGAATTAAGGTCATGTTTGCTTGGGTTGGTTCATAGTAGTGGCATAAAAAATAGGAATCTTATTTCCACTTTTCCTTCCAAATTTGAGGGGAATGACATCCATTACCGGTAATGGGCGTAAAGAAAATGTCCAATTTACCCTTTTTTTTAATTTGTAATTTCTCATTTACCCTTAAATCAATATATTTTAAATTTAAATTATTTTATTAAAATAATTATTATTATATCTATAATACTACATTCATAAACCCTTCTCATTAACCTTCTCTCATAAACGTAATAGGTCAATTCACAATGGATTCTGCCTGCCCAACAATGGGTTTCGTTTGATCAAATGCGAGTCACGTCAACGTTTATGAGAGGAAGTTGTGAAATTTGTTTGTCAACCTATCTTTATTCTTATTATATTTCATTGTTTATCCTTTATTATCAGAACAAATACCATTGTCGCTACCGGTGCCATTGTCGATAGCGTTGTTGTCCTCGATCGACAAATTTATGCCACGCTATCGACGTCACCTATGACATGTGATGAATCAGAGATCATTAATATGTCCAATTGGGCATATCCCAACCTCCAATAATCGTCATAATGACGTCACATGCGGTGGTCATCGATCACAGCCTTCGTGTGACGTCTTTGTGACAATTATCAGAGGGTGGGATCTGCCTAGTTGGTGACACTAACAATGTGGCCGAAATTAGTTGGTCGTCGAACGTTGACCAGTTGATATATTTTTTTAAATTTTTCAAAATTTTTTGGAAAGATTTTGAAATTTTGTAAATTTTAGAATGTGAAATTTTATATTTAAATAAAAAATAACCTAATCACAAGCAAATAATGTAATAATATTCTAGGGTCTGTTTGGCTTATTATTTTTATTCGTATTCTAAAACTGATTTTCCCAATAGTGTTTGGCTTATTATTCAGAGAATAGCACTTTGAAAATTCGATCCTGACAGTGTTTGACCGTTACAGTTTGCAGCTTTTATTCCTCTCTCATTTGTATTTAATTTTCTCAGTTTTTCTTCACTAACCGTTACAGTTTGCAGCTTTTATTCCTCTCTCATTTGTATTTCATTTTCTCAGTTTTTCTTCACTGCATTTGTGTTTCAGTTTCTCAGTTTTCTTCACATCGTGAACCACCCCACACCACCAAATCTGTCGCACATTCACCGTGAACCACCCACCATCGTGAACCACCCCATACCACCAGATCTATCGCACATTCACCGTCAACCACCCACCACCGTCAACCACCCCACACCACCAGATCTGTCGCACATTCACCATCAACCACCCACCACCGTGAGCCACCCCACACCACCAGATCTGTCGCACATTCATTGTCAACCACCCACCACCAGATTTGTTGCTGTTATCATTTTTAGATTGATGCAGTTAGATTTGTTTATGGGTAAGCTTTGTGCTCCATGTTGTGTTTTCATTAATCTGTTGAATGATTGTTTAAATTATTTTGTGGTTTTACAGGAGTAGAGTTCAACAAATTACTGGCACAACAAACAATCTGAAACGACGTTCTGGTAGTGTATTACCGCCACCATTTGATGATTATTGCATTACTAGTTCTGCTTCTGCAGCAAAGCCCATTGTAAAAAATATATTAATAAATCATTTAAAAAAATATATATTAATCAAATATTCAACACAAATATCAAGGTCAAAATACTCTATCAAACACATATTCTACAAATCATATTCTCGTAATCATAACCCTATCTAACTATCCAATACTATCTCTAAAATCCTATCCAAAATAATAAACCAAACATACCCTTATTCATTCCATTAAGCCTCTCGTAGCCACCCTCTTTATTGGTCTCCATCTTTATTGGCCGTCTCTGTTAATAATAAAGTAAATCGAACTCAAGACTTATTGATTTATATATCTAAAAGTCCTAATTGATAATCCTGTCTTCCCGTGGTGGTTCATTCATAATATTTTCATTCCATTGATTCTTAATCCATAAACCTAACATGGCCCGTTGTTAATAAATTATATTAAGAGTGGGGTTTGCAAATTGCAACAACAGAACTTGAGTTTTACTCATAACACAGAAAAATCAAAGTTGTAGCAGCACCGTCAACCATAGCATACAATCTGAAACTTGTATAACTTATAAAGAATCAGGATTCAATCTTTTACCTGTTGTCTGCATATTTAAATCCAGACCAGAGAATCGGTTTATAGAAAAGCAAAAACATTAGCCGAACAGAGCTCATTTCATGACAACTGAAACTAGAAGTTTGAAATTATCAACTGTACATGGCAAAGAGACAAAACAGAGCTCTAGGAAATTATGCAGAGTTAAACTTCCATGAAAATGCAAGGCCGGCTGACGGCTAGTTTTTTGAAGCCAACAGTAACATTTATATGGGCTCCTTNTTTGCTTTACTGATTTATGTGCGTGCCAGTTCTTTCCTATTTATCTCCTGGAAATGAGATTCCAGGCTTAGCTTTGATTTGACGTTAACTGATTCTGAAAATTACAGACCGATATTTTTATTGGTAGAAACAAAAGAATGAACTAGTTTTACTGCAGGCTTTTTTATTTTATCTATTTTCTTTTTCTGCTCAAAAACACTGAATTTACTAAGAATTGTATGTCAAAAGAAAACAAACTTCATTTTGAGGAAGGTTTCAAGAGTTGGAGAACCAACGGTGGTGATGGTTGTTTATGTTATCTTAATAGTCTTAAACTTCTCTAGACTACTGCAATTACATGTAACAACAAATTCATGTAAAATTTCCCATGTTCTCCAGTGTTATATTTGTGTTTTTTGTTCAGTGCTTGTTTTAACATTGAATAAGAGTCAAGATACTGTATAACATTTAATAATGAGTGTATGATATGGATGAACCAATAGACGACATGTCATGATGTTAACAATCACAGATCATAAATTTCAAACTGCCGTTAAGAAAAACAGCTATAGCAGGATCCATGGGCAAAAGTTCCAACCCATCAGACATTTATATATATTTATGTTCACGCATGTAGCTTAATTTTAAAAGGCTACATATTGATAACCACCATTCACCCACCACTAATATGTCATAACATAGCTGGCATGGTTGGTACGATCGGAAGTCGGCCCCTTCTTCGGGCCGAGGACATTTTAAACCTGCTCTTAGCTGTTGGCCTGGATTAATTTGGGGTTGAACCGGCGAAACAGTGCCAAACCGGGTTACTAAAATCCGTAAAATTAAAATCTCTATTTCAATTCTAATTCTTCAATCTTCATTCTTCATTTCTTCCGTCCTTTGATTGACTTACTCAGGCCACTCTGCTCCTCGACTCCGATGTCCTCCTGTCAGTCATCGGTTGCACTTCACTCACTCGTTCAACCTTCATCTCCTCTTCGCGATGGCTCCCCTGGTTTGTGGTGGATTTTGTTGTGGTAGATGGTGGTGTTTTGTGGTGGATTAGGGTTTTCATGGCGGCCTGGTGATGGTTTATTTGGCGTTGTGTTAATATAGGGTGGATTGTAGTTGTAGCGGCTAGGGTTTCTTGGCCATATCACAAGGGTGTGTGTGTTGGATTTTAAACCTATAGGTACTGATGGAATTTCTCAAAGGTATGTCTATTAAGTGTCATACTAAGGTTTCATGCTTATGTCATCGGTCCGACTGGGTTGGACTGCCTAAGCTAGGGCCCGACCCCTTGACTAGATTGGACTACCCAAGCCAAGGGTCAACCCCTTGGTCAGGTTGGATTGCCCAAGCCGAGGACCGACCCCTTGACTGGGTCAAGGCTCTGTCCAGGTATAAAAACATTAATATTGAATATCAGTTTTGGTCCTTGTTCAATGCAATATAAAATGATATATAATATGCTTTCTCAGTATATATGAAAGGGGTGTTTTATGTAAATAGTTGAGGTCTCAGATTTTTCAAAAGATAAACAGGATAGTTAAACATTAGATTTTTTTTTACAATTTAGTGAAGAAGTGGACAGATATTTTATGGATTGTTGGAATAGAATTCATCTTATCTATGAAAATCAGTTGTCTCATAATATTAACATCAAATTAGTATCACATTATTAGAATTCATCTTATAATTTTTGAAAGTATAGATGATTAACATCATAATACATGTATTGAACTTTGAAGCATAATATTTTTTTCATCATACAAATTGATGTTCTTTAATTTTGTCTGCTGAAATCTTTGACAAGAATGGGTAACTTCATCTCAGTCTCAATATCATTTGATTCGGTTTTCTCTTTTGCCAAAATTGCATTACTAAAAAAGCAACATATCAATGTAATCTTGACGATGATCTTCATGCCTAGCGAATTGAACTGGAAGATTTAATCGAAACAAAGAACGATATACTGATGAAGGTTATCATATTCATTGCTGAACAACAATGGAAGCAGCGCTGAACAAAGTGTAGCTGGCTTACAAGGGTGCAAGGTTATCAATTGGAGTTTTTGTTTCATTTTTTTCGATGGGAGTTTCATATGGGTTTTTATGATTTATTTTATTATACCCCATAATGGCCAACAACTATATTTTTTGGTATAAATAAGAAGTAAATTGATTTTAGATTTTTATCTAAAGTATTACTCATGTGAAAATCATATTTTATTCACATACTCTATAACAGGTTTTCAGGGTTCTATGCTTTAAGAGTGCACCCTTATAAAATCATCAAGTTATTGTATCATTAAATCAAATAAGAGCCCTAGGAAAGTCCTAACATATCAATTTGGATTTGTATATTCGATCGCCCTAATAATCCCCAAATAATATCAATTTTGTCATTGTAAAAAATTATTTAAAGTGTAAT